TCTCTTTTAAACTGTTAGAATCAGGGTCTCCCTGGTGGCCTAGGGGTTAAGTCTCAGCGCTATGACCTGAGTTTGATCCCAGGCCAGGGAGCTAACCCTCATGGTGCAGCAGAACTCTCCTGTCTCACCTGCTGCTCCCCTCAGCAGTGTATTTCAGTCCGCCCACCTGGCTCTGCTCCCCACTGTCTCTGGTGAATCCTCTCACCCCCCATACCTCTGGCATGTACCCCAGTTCTACGCCAAAAAAAAGAGAGCTGTTCGAACTGATGGTGAACCTACTTGGCCTGGGTTTTTTCTACTTCCTCCCCCAACCCTAGCCACCAAACTATCCTCTAAGCATTGGTTTTGTTTGGTTCTGTTTGTTCATTTGCTTTGTTTCTTTATCTTCCACATGAATGGAATCATATGGTATTTGTCTTTCTCCGTCTGACTTATTTCACTTAGCACAATCCCCAGTATTTGCAAAGAATTTTGAAGTCATCTGTTCAACCCCCTTGTACAGATAAGACGAAGAAAACCCAGAGAGTATCCAGGGACAAGCTCATTATATGCCGTGCTGGACCCAGCATCTAGGGCCTCTGCCCTCCCCACCCCCACCCCAGCCCATACCTGACTCAGAAGAGCCAGGTGCTTGATGCTGAAAACCATTCTGAAAAATTTGGGCTGCTTAAGCCTCAGCTTGCCTCCCGGCCACCCGCCCAGCTCCACAGCTTAGTGGCAGCAGTGCTGGGTGACAGCTCCCCTTCGGCTGCCCTAAGGGGCCTCCCTGAGGGACTCTGTAAGTCCCACACTGGGAATATCAGACCTCAGGCAAGAATTCTTTAACTGCAAGGATTAAGGGCCCAGGTTCTGTGGAGCATACCTTGGCCTGTCTGCCATTCCCAGAATCCCCGAAAGAAGTTAGGATGGGGCTGGAAAATTTTATTTGCAATCATTGAGCACAGACTGTTTTCCCAGCACTGGACTAGTCTGTACCATTTGAAATCAGGGGTTGCCCCTCCCTCGTTGCCCAGAGTCCTTAGAGCAGTGAGGAAAGGGAGGAGGAAGGATACTTCTTAGAGAGGGGGATTGGTGACATTCACACATTCAGCTCCCCCAGAGAGGGGTTGCCTGGCGATCCCTTCTGGGAACTGAGATGGCGCAAAGCTGGCTGTGCCTGTGGTTAGTTGTGGAGTCCCACTGGGTGGCCTAGGGCTGGGAGGTACAAACAATTTTGATCAACTTCACAAAAAACAGCATCTTTCCTGACTTATTTAGCATCCATTAAGTTTACGTTCAAATGAACATGCAGGGGAGGAGTTACAATACCCACAGGGGGTGGAAGAGGGATTTAAAATGTATGAAGATCTAGGTACCAGATGTTTGTTTCACCTCGAGATAATAAAATAATAAAACAAACAAAACAAAATACTTGAACCAAGCACTCTGGCTCTGTAGCAAAAGGGCAAAACCTTGAATCACTCATGAGGTCTTTGCCTATGTCTGAGAGAGAGGAAGGATGGGGGGGGTGGTCTCTGAAAATCAGCTGGCTGTTCAGAGGGCTGTGCTCAGGCAAACGTGAATGCTGAGGGACCTTCAGCATCCACTAGCTCACCAGGCAAAGGACAGGATCATCAGAAAGAGCCCTGGGACCTTTCTCTGCAATTCATGGACAGTGAGCAAGACCCCTGTCCCAGTGGGAAGGGTCACCAAGCTCTCATTCCTGCAGATGGGAGGCTTTCCACTCCCCATTGGAGCCCACAGTGCTTTGCAACAGATAAAGGATGCCTGTATAGCCTCTGTCTGTGCAACCCAGGAGCCTGTGTATTCCTACCCCCTGGAACTAGGGCCCTTGGCTCATCCTGTCCCAGAAAGGTGACAGAATGGGGGATACAGGCCTGCTTTTTCTTGTTCTCCTTGGTCCTTGTGAATCTAAGGCCATCCGATTGTAAGTAGTAGGTCCTTACCAACCCCCAAGCCTGTCACTCCACCCTTGCTGTGTGCCCTTATGGAGTTATCTCAGACCTGCTTGGTGAGGGGACAGGCCACTTGAGAGAGGAATGTGGTCACTGCCTCTAGCTGTTATACTCAGAACCACAAAGGCAAATGACTATCAGCATCTCTTTAGATGCCACCCCCATCCTGGAGGCACAAACTCAGGGGAGGGGCAGGGTCTCAAAGGCACTCCTGGGGAGAACCTCCTGTGACAGGTGACTGCTGAGGAAGAGGGCCCGGGCTGTTTCTGCTAGGCTTCTGGGCAGTCTATTTCTCCTTTCTCCTCCCCAGGCCTTGCCACCCCATTGTGTGACTTCAACACTCAGCTCATCACTGCCTGCATTACCACTACAGTCTCCTGGAAAATGGATCATTTTGCAGGGCTGCTGGAATGCAGTTCCACATCTTTCTGAAGCCATCGCAATACCTGGCATTTCTCAGTCTGTAATGTCCACTGTGCTCTCTTCATGTCAAGGTGAGCTCTTCCAAGCATTGTATGTAGCTTGTGTACCTGGGGAAATGCCCATCTCCCATTTTGCTCATTGACTGAGATGAGCCCTCTGTCCACAATCTGCCAGCCTAGTTTTCTGTGGGTATGTGTTTAGGCTGCTGGGTAGCTGGGAGAACAGGCCTTCAGATCTCTGTTGTTGAGTTTCTTTCTGCTCCACAATAGCACGGGTTGCCTCCTCTCTCAGGGCTTTGCACCTGCAGCCCTGCCGTCTGGAACTCAGTCATCCACTCATGCAACACACCTGCTGGACTTCTGTTACCACACACTAGGGACTCTCTCTCCGAGGCGGCGGGGAGAACAAGACACTGTGACGGCATATGGGGAATGGCGGTGAGATGTGCCCTGTCCCACCCTCATCCCTGGGACTCTACCTGCCAGACCGTCACTGTGAGGGTGTCTGGTGTCCTCTGGTTGGTCAGCAAAAATTCCCACAGGCATACAGGATAGAGAGAACTGTCAGAATCTAGGGTGAGCCAGGAGGACTGGAAAATGCAGCCCTCCCTCCCCAATATTCATCAGAGCAGTGGCTCTCAAACTTTTTGGTCATGATCCATTACAAGAAATATGCTTGACATTACAATCACTTACATGGTATTTAAGTATATACATAGGCACAGAAACTCGGATGGCAGTTTTTTGTGACATTACCAGCCTTTGCCATATGTGGTGCACGCTAATACATGTTACTCTATCCTTCCCAACCCTATCCTGGCTCCTCCTAGTCTCTCCTTCCCCTCCCTTCTCCTTTTCTCCCTTCCCCTCCTTTGTGCTCTTCATGAACTTTAAAGCCCACTAACGGATGGCAAACTTATGTTTGAAAAATGCCAAAACAGGGAAAGGAAGAAAGGTTAATGCTGTGGTGACAGGAAGAAGTTTCAATCAAATCTTATTTTTTTTAAAGATTTATTTATGCATACAAGAACTGGGGTACAAGCCAGAGGTGTGTGGGGGTGAGAGGATTCACCAGAGACAGAGTGGGGAACAGAACAGGCGGATTGACTGAAATCCACTGCTGAGGGAAGCAGCGGGCGAGTCAGGAGAGGTAAGCTGAGCCATGTGGGTCACCTCCCTGGCCGGGGATTGAACTAGTGCTGTAGATTCTGAGGATAGCTTCACAATGCTGAGTCTCTACCCCTTGTGCCACCAGGGAGGCCCTCAAATCTTATTTTAAATACATACAAGAAACCCCCTATTTAGATTGTTCTATAAATCAAATTAATTTACCTTTAATTTGCATTTCTAAAGACCCAAACTTCTCCTTTTGGTTTTAAAGCAAAATATGATCTGTTGGCCAAATTTAGTCCTCTACTTCATTTTAAATTAAAAAAAAAAATCAGAGGAAGAATATTCTCAGAGCACATTAAAATGACAGGCAATTCCACTTTCAGTGCTTACATTGGGTCACAATCACACTCATCCACTTGCAAAGTGTGCAGAGTTGCCCCACAACAACAGACCAGAGCCAGACCCACAAAGCCTAAAATATTTACTACCTGGGCCTTTATAGAGTCTGCCAAACCGGCCTTACAGTGTGCCATTTCTTAGCTTGGAGATGGAGCGACCCCAAAATAAACAATTTTGCTGGTGTAGGGGCCAGGCTTTTCTATGCTCTTTTCTCAGGGGAACTGGGGTGGGGAGATAGGGAACCTCTCTGGCTTTAATCTCAGGGCTGGGAGGCCTTGGAAACTCTCGGCTAAAACTGTTTCAGGGGAACATTAAGGTAGAGAGTAGTCTCCACTTGTCTCTGTGCTGAAGCCGCGGGGGAAGTAGAGGGAGGTGCTATGTGCAGAGAAATCAGTGGTAAGGGAGGGAGAAGACACTATGGTCCAGCCCTTAGGACTTAGCAGAAGTTACCTGGACCATCATCAGTCTTCACCGAAACAAGTGCACTTAGGGCCACTGGCTGACCTTTTTTTTTTAATATTTATTTATTTATGCATAGAAGAACTAGGGTACAGGCCAGAGATGGGGGGGGTAAGAGGATTCACCAGAGACAGAGTGGGGAACAGAACAGGCAGACTGACTGAAATACACTGCTGAGGGGAGTAGTGGGTGAGACAGGAGAGGTCTGCTGCACCATGTGGGTATCTCCCTGGCCAGGGATAGAACTTGTGCTGCAGTGGCTGCAGATTGCTTCATAGGTTGCGTTTTAACCCCTTGCACCACCAGGGAAGCCCTGGCTGACCTTCTTCATCTTGGTGGGAATTTCCTTCTCTAGCAGTTTTACTTCCTTAGAGGAGGTGACACCATTGTAAGCCTCCAGCTGTGACTCTATCCCCATCTGACCTACCCTAATAATTCACTGTCCTGCCAGGTCCCTGGATCTGATGTAGCCCCATCTAGAGAGACAGAGACTGGGACATCAGAGCCAACCTGAGCTGTCGCTCCGATAATCTTGGTGTGTTGCTAAGTGTCCACAGTTCTGTTGTCAGACGTGGGACTGGGCAGGCAGGGCTGGTGGTAACTCTGCCAGTATGTGTGTTGGGGGTGGGGTGGGGGGAATGCTTGTACTCACGTGAGTTTGTGTGTCTGTGAGAACATCAGGATGACAATGAATGCAATGATGGAGTGTTAAGTAGCCAGGCAGAAACACGAGTGTCCAGTCAAGAGTCCCTGCTCTTTCTGCTCCATTCCAAATTTTCATTCTTCCCAAGAAGGCCCTGTAGTGGAAGGGAGAAAGGAAGGAGAAAAGCAGAGTTTGGATTTCTTCATCTCCCCACATTTCTGGCCTGAACCCCATGGAAACTTTTTCTAATTTGAGAGGTGGAAAGCAGCTTTCTCCAGCCCCCTGCTGCTAATGGACAGTGGACAGATTTTTCCCACTCATCTGCCAGGGCTTAAAAGCTTGACCTGCATTTCTTAGAAGTCAGCTTGAGTTCAATTACAGTAGATCGCCTGATCTCATTTATTTTCTCCTGTATACTTGAAGTTGGGACAGCTTTAATTTGAAATGGAAATTTATGCAAATGTTATGTAAATTAGGTCATTCCCAGATTAACTGGGGGAAAAAATCTGGTCGCCTTAGCAGGCACCATCTGCTAGCTCCTCATTCTCTCCGTATCTGAACCCCACCCCCAATTCTCAATCCACTTTGAAACTTGTTTTCTGTGACTGAGGGAAGATCTTTCAAGGGAAGGAAACAGATCACCTGTCAGTTTTCCAGGCGGGTCGCTCAAATGTCCTTTCTGCTGTGGGAAGAAGCTCAGGTGAGGGACTGGGAAGAGGTTTAAGATTAACTCCAGGCTAACGGTGCTTCCTGTAAGGAGAGAGCCATTGTGCTAGTCTGGCTTGTTTGGAGCTGAAGTCTGGAGCAGCCACACCCCACACTTCCTCCCCCTGGCCCCTGCTTCGTTAAGATTCTTCCTTTATTCCTTCTCTTTGTCTGAAGCTTGGAGCCTCGTAGTGGAACCCATAAGCTCTCTTACTCCACTTTGTTGTATTTGGAGTCAGAAGGTTTGGGTGTTGTGCAATCCTGGGAACTTTTGAGTGCAGGTGTATGTGAGGTAGGGGACACTCTGGGCAACTCTCATCCCTCCCACATGGCTGCAGTGCACTTCTGCTTTGGGACAGTGATAGCTTCAGTCCTGCTCTGGGAAAGCAGAGTCTACCATCCCTAATGCTGGAGAGGTGCCTTCTCCACAACCCCTTAGACTTCCTTTCCTCATCAAAGCTATTAACATGAGGGCTCCTTCATTCAGTGTCACTTTCTCCTTGAAGGGGCTAAAAGTGAGAAGACTGCTCAATGATTCCTCTATCCTACAACAAAGAAGCCTCATAGAATCACAGCTGACTCACAGTGAAAAGCAACTTCAGTGTAAATACTTCTGTTACTGTTAAGCCACTGAGTTGCTGAGGTTAGTTGTTATTGTAGCAAAACGTAGTGCCAACTGACTAAGATGCCCTCTACATCTTTATTAACCTCTCCCCAAAGTCACCTCAAACATTTTTTTTGTTTTTAAGTTTTAATTTATTTTAGTTTTTAATTTATATAATTTTGAAAAATTATTAAATTTTTAAAGTTTTTAATGTACTAATATGATATTTTGTTGTAAGCCAAATGTGAATAAGCATCATTATAAAAATCTGTTTTTTTTTCTCTTGGTTCATATAATAACAGTACAACTGTACTTGCATAACCAGACCACCAGGCAGTGACAATGGTCAGTGCCAAGACCTTGAGACAGGAATGTTATCACCCCCAATTGGCTAAATCAGAGTAAGCAATTGTGAGAGTGGTAGAAAGAGAGTTTGGGGTGGAGAGAAGTGGACTTGAACTAGGCTCCAGAAAAGGTGCAATTTCAGGACAGATACACAAGGTGGCACAAAGACACTCTTGATAGTCAACATTGACCACACAAGCTGGTGATGGAAGAAGACTACCCTACCCTCACCCTCAATACAGTTCTGCCAGAGAACGAAATCCAACAGGCTCTAAGCAAATCATAAGCTATCTAGACCTGGAAGAACTTTGGAGATCTTTCAACCCGTTGTTTGCCATACAGGGTTTATGATGTCTATGAAGGAACTTCAGGATTCTAGGGATCCACTGAATTGCAAAATATACATTTTAGGGTGAACCTCCAAAGCTCACTGTAAGGCATCTATGATCCAAAAAGGGTAAAGAACTTCTAACTCTAACCCAACCTTCTTCCAAGATCAGACTTGAGAACTTGCTCAGCAGCAGGTAGCCTGGACCAAATCCACATTCTCACCAGCTGCCCTGGAGACCTGAGTCTGTAAGCCCTGCTTTCTCAGCACACAGAGAATGCCCTGACTTGCCACTGGGGACACTGGGGGCCCTTCAAGAATCCAGAGCTTTCATGAGGAGCCTGCAAACCCAAACATACTTTCCACTGCCTGTAGGCTGAGCAAACAACAAACCTTGTACATCTATGCTCTGTTGACTTTCAACACTACTTAGCTACTCCTTTGACAAAATAGAGCAGTACTTCATGTAGTGACTGAATTCATAGTCACTTTGGTCTTCATATTTCTCCAGTTTCTTACCCACTGGTGGTTACCTAAGTCTAATAGATGGTGTGATATTTTGGACTCTGTCTCGCCTAATGTCAGGGTGTGTGTCATCTAGTTTAAGCTAAATGGGAATCTTTAAAATCAAAATGGATAGAACCTTGGTCTGTGGTGAGAGAGAGAGGGGACACCCGGGTTAGGAGAAGTCTATGACAGGTGGACGAGGGACAGATGCATGGGCAGGAAGTGGGGTGTGTGAGGTGAGAGGGGAGCAGGCAGAGCATGAAGACAGCAGTGAGACAAGCCGTGGGGTTGTTCAGGTGCAACTGCAGATGGAAACTGAGGCTCGCTCCCCTGACAGGGAAGATGCAAATTTTTAATTCAGCATCTTTTAAAAGAGAGCGAGAAAAAGGAAAAGTGAGTCCTGGACACTACTATGTCTGCTATTGGTATTTTAAATTTCCCCTTGCTTAGGCAATGCTGCCTATAGAGGAACTCCAGGATTCTGGCTAGAGGGGCCAGAGCTACTGAATATTTATCAGGAGCCTCCTGGTAGGCGTGGGAGACTGAGAACAGGAAAATCAGGCCCAGTAGGTTGTCTGTGGAGCGAGCCTGGGTGCTGGCCAGACTCTGCAAGTCTCCTATATCCTGGCTTTTGAATCACGCCCTACCCTGCCACCCTCCTCAAGAGGCGTGTGCAGACCTGGCCACAGTCAGGGAGTTTGCCTCTTGTTGCCATTCTCCATACTGACTTCCATTGCTCGCCCAGACCCGACTGTGGCTCCTTTGTCCACAGTGGCCTGGGCTGACCAGCTCGGCCTGGAGCCCATCACTGGGAGGACGCAGGCTTCCATGGCATCACAAAGCGCTGCTTTGTGGCCCTGACAGGAGGGTTTGTCATAAGCGATGCGATGGTCCCTGGCAGATCCTGTCATGTGGAGAGCAGACTTTTCTGTGCTGGTCACAGCATTTTGAGTACTGCCAGGTGGATGCAGCATCCAATCTGTTGGGCCTTGTCACCTCTACCTCAGGTACACTGGGCCTTTCATACTACCGGGGCGGCGGGGGGGGGGGGAGCACAGGAGCACTAGTTTGTGTCCAGTGCCCGTCAGTCTGCAGGGTGACAGCAATGGCCTTCCTAAGCTTGTGCAGGCCCCTTTCATGGTGGTTCCCCCCTCCCCACCTTGAAGGCACAACCAGAACTGCCACCCCTAGGACACGAGCCTGAACCCTACACAGCATAGCTCCTTTGTGGATCTTGTAGCCACATAGAACTGAACCTCTCAGAAGTAGGGAAGAATTTCTTAAACAAGACAGATATTATCATAAATCATAAAATGTAACATTTCAACCCCAGTACTTTGAGGAAACTCAGACGATTAACCACAAACTGGGCTAAGAGTGCGAGGGGTGCAAGGGGTTAAGATGCAACCTATGAAGCTATTCACAGCCTCTGCAGCACGAGTTTGATCCCCTGGCCAGCCAGGGAGCAACCCACATGGTTCAGCAGACCTCTACTGCCTCGCCCGCTGCTCCCCTCAGCAGTGTATTTCAGTAGATCCGCCTGTTCTGTTCCCCACTCTGTCTCTGGTGAATCCTCTCATCCCCTGCACCTCTGGCCTGTACCCCAGTTCTTGTATGTATGCTTAAATAAAAATACCTCTTTAAAAAAAAAGAAATATGTGACACAGAAATGACAAAGGATTAGAATTAAGAATATAGCAGGGCCTCCCCAGGTGGCGCAGGCGGTTAAGCCCCACGCTATGAAGCTGTCCGCAGGCCCTGCAGCGCCGGTTTGATCCCGGCTGGCCGGCAAGGGTCCCACATGGCGCAGCAGACCTCTCCTGTTGCGCCTGCTTCTCCCCTTAGCAGAGTATTTAGTCAGTCTGCCTGTTTTGTTCCCCACTCTGTTTCTGGTGAATTCTCTCACCCTCCCGCGAATCTGGCCTGTACCCCGGTTCTTGTGTAAATAAATAAATAGATCTTAAAAAAAAAAGAGGTCAAGTCAACTGACCTACCCTTCTAAAAAAAAAAAAGAATTAAGAATATAGCATATTAATATTTTTGATACAGTAAGAACATATCACGTGCTGGCAGGGTAGAGGGAGCGGGAAACAAACAGTTCAGTAGGAAAAAAAAAAAACGAGAGAATACATGTAGGGCTAAGTAAATGGGTGGAGATGCGACCTTGTCTATAGCCAGGAAAATGCAAAACAAGACCTTGATGAGATATTTCCTTTGGGGTAGACTTTCTGGTCCTTGAGCAATCTCCTTGCATAGCTTCCAGCCCTTTCCCTGGGAAAGCAGGCCCTGGGCGCTGCAGAGGTTTGTCATCCCACCCAAGCCCAAGTCAGATCCCTGCCCTGTCCTGCCTGTCGCCACTGCTCTCAGGTAGACCCCCCTGCCACGCCCTGTCTCCATGTCTTCTCTTGGCTCATCTCCCAGGTATCGGCCTGGCCAACAGGACTTCAAGGACCATCTTTTCTTTTTCTTTTTTTAAGATTTATTTTATTTATCTATACATACAAGAGATGGAATGCAGGCCAGAGGTGCAAGGGGTGAAAGGATCCACCAGAGACAGAGCGGGGAACAGAACAGGCAGACTGACGAAATACACTGCTGAGGGGAGCAGCGGGCAAGTCAGGAGAGGTCTGCTGCGCCGCATGGGTTGCTCCCTGGCCCGGATAGAACTCCTGCAGTGGCTGAGGATAGCCTCATAGTGCTGCGACTTAACTCCTTGTGCCACCAGGAAGGCGTCAGCTGCATTCTTAAGGAGATTTGACTTCTTTTACAGTTCTTCTTTCTTTTTTTCTCTTTCTTTCACTCAACAAATCGAGCTTTCATTATGTACCAGGCAGTTTTCCAGGTGCTGAGGAAACATCAGGGAGCAAAATACTCTCAAATTTGCCTGCCCTCGTGGAAATAATACTCCACGTGGACAGACAGTACGTGCACAAAATAAAAAGTGAAGCCTATGATGTATTCACAGTGCTAAGTGTCCCTGAGAGGAACCCCCATCTGCCTGCACCACACTGTGGAAATGCCCCTCGGCATCGAGTAGTGACTTCCACTTGAAGTCATGTATTGCTCCCCCTGATCTCTGAGCATCATTTCTCTTAAATCATGGACATCCTATGTGGTAGGTGTGATGACTACCCCATTTCCAGGTGAGAAAACTGGCCCTTGGGGAGCTTCAGTGATTTTCCAAGACACCCAGCTGCTAAGAAAGGGAGTAGGATTTGAACCCCAAACCCTGGAGCTCAGATATCTTTGCTTGTATACCTCCTAGCTCTGCCCAGATACTTCTCTACACTCAACAGCCCCTAGAAGGTACCACAGTGAGGAGGGGTTCATAGCCTCTGACATGGGGGTGATGAAGGAGTTTTCAGGTGTATCTGAAATGCTCATTCTGTGCAGAGGGTCCTGGTCCTGGCAACAGCTGCCTGGTGGGCCCTTAAGCCTGCTGGGTGTGGGGCTCAGGCCTCAGCCCACACCAGCCTGAGACAGAAAGCACTCTGGGGCTTCATTGCTCAGGACCTCAACAAAACAAGGCCTAAGTGAGACCCTGCCCTGGATATGCATGGGGCCAGTCAGAAGGTAGTCGCAGACACTAGAGAAGGCACCCCTCCTGCACATTCTGTCTCTTTCCAAAGTGTGGTGGTGGTGTTGGAGGGGGAAGGTGTGCAAGTTATTCTCCATGTCCTTTCCCTCCCATAGTGACAGGAAGCTGAATCCAGACGAGGGGTAGGGGCAGGAGGGAATGAGTTCCAGTCCTTCCAATAATAAGCTGTGTGTCCTTGGGCAAGTTGTGCAACCTCTCTGGGGATAAATGTCTTTGTAAAATGGGGCTAAGTTCTCCTTTTTCTGCCTAGCCCCCTCCTCTGGATCTGTGGCAAGGATCCCAGGAAACATTGTAATCCCAGATTACAATGCCCCTGTGTGCTTTGTAATCTAAAGTGATGGCACATGCACCACCCTTGAGGTGACTGAAACACGGGGCTCCCACCAGAAGGAATTACCATGAGGCATGTTTAGATTTAGGGCAATCAGGAGTTAAAATTCTTACTCACTAGAACAGGCCACATGTATTACAAACCCTCCACTCTGTTCCAGAAATATTATTCTGTAAAATCAGCCCCACCCTTTTCTCTGCTCCTGCCAACAGGTGAGAAGCTGGGGAGGCACGAGAGGAGGGGAGAAGGGAGGAGCAGAGAGAGCAGAGAGAGCAGATGTTTGAAGATTGGGTTGCAGGGAGGCCCTGGGGGGGGCGGGGGCTTCACTCCATGCTGTGTTTAAACAGAGCCTCGATGCACCCGTTGCCCCCTCCCCTTGGAGGAGGAAGGCCCCTCCCAGAGCTGAGTGTGAGCCCAGCAGCTGGGCCACGGCCCTCCATTGTGACAGATGTGACCCTAAAAACCAATAAGGTCCCTGCCCTTATAGGCGCCAGCAACTTCTCAAGGTCTCTCTAGAGAGAAGCGATCAAGAATTCCAGTTGCTTGGAAAAAGGGAACTCTCACTGATGATGCCCCCTCCTGCTTGCCATATGTTACTTGGTTTAACCCACCCATCAGCTTTGTGAAATATTAGCCACATTTTACGTCTGAGAAAGCTGAGTCTTAAAGAGGCGGAGGCATTTATCTCAGCTTCATGGCTCCAACTAGAACTGGGATGTGTTGGACCCCAATCATGGGCTCTGACAGGGCTCATTACTACCCAGGCAATAAATACTTCCTAAGTACCTGTTCATCCTGGCACTGCTAGGGCTATGAAAAGTGCAGGAGGTAAGGTCAGGCCTCTGGGGGTGGGGTGAACCCAGAGCATGCCACAGGGGCCCCGCAGGGGTGTCCTCACTTTAGGTTTCACAGAGGGGCATGAGAGACTGGTGAGGACTGGGTTGCCCCCGCAGCTGCTCTGATGGGTGTCAGTGCTCAGACCCAAGCCAGTGGGCCCCAGTCATTTATGATGATGTTACTTAAAGCTTCAGCCAGGACTTTACTCCCAAAGGGCTCTTTGCTTTTTCTGCTCCTTCCATGCGTGAGCTGAGCCTTGAAGGGGTGGAGTGAGTGTGATTGTGCAACTAAGGGCCAGGCCCAGGAACCAGCGCCTGGGGCTCGGCCTCTTGCTGTGGAGTCACCGGGGCTGACCTGCCTTATAGCCAAGCTCACAGGCCCGGGAGCAGCTGTTTCCACTTTCTCAACTGCCTCTGTTCTGGGAGCCAGGCCAGCATCCGTAGGCTTTCTTTCCTTTTTCTCTTTGTAAAAGAGAGAACTGCTCAAGGCTGCCAGACCCAGCAGCTTGCCCCCAGACCGTTGCCCGCTGTTTGACTGGACTGGAGGGCAAGGCCTTTTGGGAATCTCATTGTAGGGAAAATGGAGTTAAATCAGGCTGTTTTCTGCCTTCTGGCTGCTGGCCTCTGCTACCCCCTGCATCTTGCATTCCTCCCAGGATGCCAGGGCCAAGGCATGGGCACGGGGCACGCACACCTCTGATTATGGACACCTGGACCCAGAAGCAGGGGTGAAAGGGGCCCCTCCACTCTGGTGTGAGGGCTGTGTCCCTCTGAGGCTGTGGGCTCAGTTGCTGTTGGTTTGCTGGCTGGTCTGTCTCCTGATTCAGAATTAAAGATCAAATTAAAGAGGAGGGCTCCAAAATCCTCTTCTCGTCTGTGAGAATCGACAAAGAATCTACCAGTCCTGGGACGGCTGCATGACACTCATCAGGTAGGGCATTGCCTCGTGCAGCAGCTGGGCTTCACTATCCTACAAGCCCTGCCCTTCACAGGGTGCCCTCTCTCTGGTCTCAAGTCCAAAATCCTTTGCCATTTAAAGCAAACTGCCTATGGTAGGGCCATACCTCCAGAAGCTCCAGGCCTCCCGGTGGAGTGTACTGGGAGAAGGTCACTCCACCGGGTGCCCTAGGTGACTTAGGCTTTACCTGAGACATTCTAGGTATGTCTAAGGGGGGTAAGTCACTCTTCACCCTGCTCCTCAGGCCTGGGTGCCTGCCTCCAGGGCCCACTGTTCCTATTTGA